TTTATAATTCCCAGTTCAAACCTATATCACTTTCTCTAGAGATGAATACTGATCCTATATGAATAACTTTCTTCCTTATCTGATAACTTTTGATAGAGTTGTACTACATTCTCAACCCTTTTGGCTAGCTAAACATCTTGGAAAAGAACCACTGATGCTTTGAAAGTAGAAATAGTTGTGATAAATGTTTTCATCTTTAGCCAATTGAGTTTTATTATTGTAAGAACCAAAAATAAGCATCAGAAATATTTTTAAGTTAGCTAGAACAAATGGATATATCATACCTTGCATGACGGACCTACTTCCTTAATCCAAATCAAGATGAATAACTTCGCTTTCAAGGAAATTACTATATAGTGGCAAAGATAGAACAAGTAGACAGAAGACACATACAATAACATAGAAATTAAGTGTCTTAACAGAGGGAAAAATTACACTATAAAAGCATTCCCAAAGGGTATAGGGTAAAAAAAGAGGTCTGTAATTTAATAAATCTAGGAAATATTGAAATGTAGTAAATAAAATGCTAATCACCACTGGCATCCTCCAATAGAAGGCAGCATTTCCTAAGTTTATTTGACCAGGGCATCCTGATTTACACAGCATGTTGAAGGTCTACTGTTCTGTGGATAGATAGATTTTTGGGAATTGCTATCTTTGGAGATTTAGAAGAAGGAGAGGCTTCCTTCAACTAAGAGGATCAGGAAATACATCATATAAGAACTAACATCTACACTGGGGCTAGAAAGACATGTAGGATTAAGTCACTGTGGAAAGAGAGACTGCTAGTGAAAAGGCCATTTCAGGCAGGAAAACAGAGCACTTGCAAAGAACTGAGATTTATGAGTGGCTCAAAGAAAATGTAGCATAAGCAGCATGAGCAGCATGAAAATGGGTTGTAGAAATAAAGATTTAGCAAGGACACTGGATTTTGATAAAGAAGGTTTTGTATGCCAAAAACCTTGAGAGTTCAGTTGGAAGGAATGTACAAGTTTACACTTGTTGACCACAGTTACATCAAGTAAGGCCTTTGTTCCAATCAAAAGACCTCAGAGTTTAGACAATAAATTATTTGATCAATTGGTAATACAGAAATAATGATTTTGTAAGTTCTTATCATTTAAATATAGATAATAGATTAAATTATATGTCAGGGATATGCTTCAAAATAATTTGGGAAGGGTATAAATGAAAAAGATTGTCCACGAGTTGGTACTTATTGAAACTAGATGATAAATACATGGTGGTTCATTATACTACCGTCTTTAAATAATTGTATATATTTCCCCAAATAAATTTTTTTTTTAAACAACATTTAGGGACCGCCCTGGTGGCACAGTGGTTAAGAATCCGCTAAAAAAAAAAAAAAAAAAAAAAAAAAAAAAAAAAAAAGAATCCGCCTCCTGTCAATGTGGGAGACACAGGTTCAAGCCCTGGTCCAGGAAGATGCCACATGCCGCGGAGCAACTAAGCCCGCGAGCCAAAACTACTGAGCCCACGTGCCGCAACTACTGAAGCCCGCGCGCCTAGAACCCATGCTCCACAACAAGGTAGACCCCACCTGCCGCAAACAGAGAAAGCCCGTGCGCAGCAACAAAGACCCAACACAGCCAATAAATAAATAAATTTTTTTAAAAAAAGATAAAAGGCATCAAAAAAAATATAACATTCACAGGAAATGAAATGGTATATCTGTGGCCTTAGTAATTTAATAAAATGCAATATTTTTGCCATATCACTAAATGACTATATGTTTATCAAATAAGCAAAATGATTGAAAATCAAAGGTTCATTTCACCATTTTAACGTGACTAAAAATTCACCTTTCTGCAAGAACTTCATGATTTCAAGACTGAAAAGTAAGAAGAATACATACTATAGTCTCTCTTCTTCTGCTTAAAGATATTTTCACTCTTATTTCCACTACAAATGGTTTAATTGAGAAAGTACAGTAAAATCCCATGAAAATATGAAATTTCTGTAACGTGCCAGTTTCTATATTGATCCTGCCAATTGACTCAAGGGCTTTACGCACTTTCTGTAAGTTAACCCAAGTCAGGACATTCCAAAAACAAATTATTCTATTGCAAAATCTCAGACTGCAAAATACTCTCCCAGAAGAGCTGCAAATATCATCAATGCGCAAAAACAAAACTTTCTTAAAAAATAAACTGTAATTATAGCCTACAGTGTGTAGGGTTTTGTTTAAATCTTCTTATTTGTAGGTCCTTATTTGAAACAAATACATTTCTATCACCCATTAGTTAAATAACAGACACTCATGCTGGTTGAGACAAATTTCACTCATACGTAGGTATAAACAATTGAAGATACAGGTTATATCTACATGATTTTATACAAAATTTAATTAGATCATCTAAGCTTAAAAATTACTATTATAGGGCTTCCCTGGTGGCGCAGTGGTTAAGAGTTCGCCTGCCGATGCAGGGGACACAGGTTCATGCCCCGATCTGGGAAGATCCCACATGCTGCAGAGCAGCTAGGCCCTTGAGCCATGGCCGCTGAGCCTGCGCGTCCGGAGCCTGTGCTCCGCAACGGGAGAGGCCACAACAGTGAGAGGCCCGCGTACCGCAAAAAAAAAAAAAAATTACTATTATAATATAAATATAATATTTCCTATTATAATATAAATAATACATTGCCCATTTTCTCCAACAAAACAGTATTGTGAAAAGCCTATTCTGATTCCAATGTATCAAAATTATTACAAAGCCTATGTCCTTTGACTCTAACTATGAAATACACAAATCTAATTATTTTAATTCTTTCTTTAAAATAAAGTTTAATTTTTTCTTTTAAAATTCTATAGTGGGTATTAATCAATGAAAAATCTATAAGGTTTATTTATCCACTAAAAAAAAAACTAGCATTATTATTTATGCTAGGGTTTTTTTAGTGGATAAAGAATAATAATAATATTATTAACTCTCCATTAGTAACTTACTTACATATATTAACTTCTCTTTAGTAACTGTGACAACTGACTTTATACCCTACCATTTATTACAGAGAAGAAAACTGAAATCTATTGGCAAGTGTAATATTACTTTCAACATGCACAGCGCAGTAGAGCCCAGTGTTTAAATAATTTCAAAACATATGTTGTCATTTAAATAAACTATCTTAACAAATAATGATTTGAGAGTTCTCCCCAATTTAACACTCAGCTGAGGCAGCAAGAGCTATCTGTGAGTATAAAATTAAAATGGACCTGCAACAGAGATGTCTAACTTTGCAGAAGCCAACACACACATATCTTTGATTAACGATAAACAACAGAAGACTACTGATAAGATGTAAAGACAAATACTCAGGAAAAACTGGCATCTAAATCTGGCTGAAATATTCATACTCTGTTCTAATTCACTCCTCTGTAGCTCACACACTTGGAAGAAATGGAAAGACTCATACATGATTCCTCTATTTCTCTACTTGTTTCAATTTTAATGAGTGATATAATTATAAGGTAATATATTAATGCATAAGATCTGTAAGAATTAATATGCTAAAACAGGCCATGTAATTTTCAAAGCTTACTATATTATATATATATACTACATTTCTGAATGAAGATGTTATTAACAAATGTATGCTCCCCCAAAACTTTTAATTTATAGATAAAACAATAAAAGATCCTTCCTGGTAATCTATATTTAATCATTATTAAAACATCAGTAACTTTCTGATCAGTATGAAATAACTGACTGATAAGTGGGTTAATGTACTCAGTCATTCAAGAAATAGTTAATGAGAGCCTACATTGTGACAGTCAATGTCCTAGGTGCTAGAGATACTAATGTAAATTTGTAAATGGTGTAAACTTGTGATAAAACAAAAATATGTCAATGAACATGATCTCCATTATTATCTCTGTAGATCTCTGAGAGAAAAGATTACAAGATCAAGGAGGTGAGTTGTATTCTTCTTCATAGGCTACAAAATGATAAACTATACATTACAATGAATTATTCATGTGTTATATATAGTAGAGTATATATTATATAATGTATGCAATAACATATAGACTGCAAGATATTAACAAGAACATGAGCTCTAACCAGAAAGGAATAATGTCTCCTACTCAGAGCTTAATACATGGATAAACATCTGATGAGTAAGTGTGTAAATAGCTGTGATATTTCAGGAGATGCAACAGTATGATTGGGATTCCCTACACGTAACAAAAATGAGCTCT